CTAAAACTCTCCATTTAAATGGGCAGGCTAGTATGTTCCGACAGCTTTGATGGGTGGGCACTGGGCGGTGTAGCACGCTGTCTCAGTGCATCACACTGTTAAAGGAGAACTATGAGGTGAGTGCTTTTCACTCACCTCATAGTTCTAGCCGACCTGTGACAATAAGACTGTCACAGGTCACTTTTTAAAAACTTTACTTAGACTGTCCAAAGAATACAGTCTATTTGTGTCCCAGAACAGCAGATGTTGTGACACAGTTATGGTAGTGCACTGCAAAAAAATGCAGCACGTAGTGTGAACAGGGCAAGTAGAAAACAATTGTTTTATATGTGCCCTAGGGGCGACTGGCATTGTTTAGTTGCTAAGAAACGCCAGTCACCACATATTGTGTAAATGGGCCCTTAAAGAAGAACTCTGGGGAGAAGAAATCAACCCTTGCAGTGGACAAACATGGAATGTTCCTGCGTTACTCAGTCCAATACACTGTATTGGACGTGACGACTCACAGGTTCTTAGACCGCCAGAGCAGAAAGGGAGAGAAGCTGCAGGAACCAGTCTAGCAGCCAGGCGGGTCTGAGGTTCTGGTGAGTATATCTTTATTATTTGCAACCCTAGATGAAAATGAGCACTTCACTCTTGCAGTGCAGGGGTTGTAGAGGTAGCCTCATTGCAGGGGTTACGTTTTCTACTGACTGGAGTTCTGTCTCACTGCTCCTGTTTAGAGTAGGCTTGCTTGTCGACAGAATTGATAAACGTCCTCCTCAGTCCTCGTTCACACCTGTGCAATTCGGCCATCGTGTAACACTGCACAACAATAGGAATCTCATTATTTTCTAAAAGGCCCTTTTACACCCATGCAACATGCTTCTGTGCATCTTGGGAAATGCTGCAGGTACTTGTTTTGGTGCTTAACACATGACAAACACACTAAAATGCATGAAGAAAGCAAAATAAAAAACACTAAAAATTGCATGAAAATGTAGACGCACGTGTGAACAGAGACAAAGGGGTTCATTTAGACGGCGCTACAAGTATAGGAAATTCCTATACTCGTCAGCGCCATCTAGGGGAGCTAGTGCCGTACGAAACTAGAAGGGTGCTGCCCGGTGTGTAGTAGAGCGTTACTTTTCTAAATGAACCACTTAGCGTTTTGAAGCTCATGTGGTAAAAAAAATAATAATAAACGAGTGCAATATTGTATGGGTGGTCTTTTCCCCATTCCCCTACACATGGCACCAAAAAGCTGTGGGTCCCTAGTAGGAAGGTCTCATAGCTGGTGTTCCTAAGGCTGGCCATACACCTATCAATTTTTTTCATTCAACCCGCGGGCTGAACAAATATAATTAACCCGATTGCTCCATCAACACAAACAGCGTGTCAATCGAGGAATCGCCGCTGTTTGCATTGTATTCTGACATGTGCCGCCGGCACTTGTTCGAATACCTGATCAGAGCGGGCAGCTCATTGGCTGCCCGCTCTGATCGATCAAAAATTTTCCAGCCGTCTCCTTCCATCAGCTGATCGAGGAATGCCAGCTGAAAGGGAGCAGAAAGCCCCACACAATGTGCAAATTTCAGCAAGCCTATGGACACCTTAACCCTAGATGGCCAATAAATGATTTAATCAGCTGACATCCACCCAAATGTTGCCTATGATTGCACAATGCTCTGCTGTATTTGGTAAAATTCCATGACTGCTTGTTATGCACACAGTTCCAGATACAATTCATTGTTTAATCAACATGTGCAGACACAATAACATTGTTCACTTGATGGTAACAACTTTGTTCTGCATGCATTTCAAAATAAATTAATATTATAATAAATATTATTATTATTAATCAGGATTTATATAGCGCCAACAGTTTGCGTATCGCTTTACAATATAAGGAAGACATTACAATCACAATACAATTCAAGACAAGATGGTAAGGAGGGCCCTGCCCGTGAGGGCTTACAATGTAAAAGGGAGAGGCAAGTGATACATGAGGAGGTAGCTGTGTGGGGATGAATTGAGAACGTGACGGTTCAGTGGTTAGGTTGAGGTGGGATAGGCTTCCCTGAAGAGATGAGTCTTTAGGGATCACTTAAAGGTAGTCAGAGTAGGAGACAGACAGATATGTTGAGGAAAGGCGTTCCAGAGGATGGGAAAGACTCTAGAGAAGTCCTGGAGTCAAGCATGGGAGGAGTTGACGAGGGAGCTGGAAGGCAGGAGGTCTTTTGAAGAGCGGAGGGGACAGTTAGGGTGATATTTTGAGACAAGGTTTGAGATATAGCCGGGCGGCAGAATTATGGATGGCTTTGTAAGTGGTTGTTAATATTTTGAATTGTATCCTTTGGGCAATTGAAAGCCAGTGCAGGGATCAGCAGAGGTGGGTTGCAGACACTGAGCGGTTGGTTAGGTGGATGAGTCTAGCAGCTGCATTCATGATAGACTGAAGGGGGGATAGCCTGTGTAGTGGAAGGCCAATGAGGAGGGAGTAGCAATAGTCAAGACGAGAGATAACGAGGGAGTGTTTTGCGGTTTCTTTCGTGAGGAAGGGGCGTATTTTGGAGATGTTACGAAGGTGAAGGCGGCAGGATTTGGATAGTGATTGGATGTGGGGAAGAAAGGTGAGGTCTGAGTCAAGGATGACACCTAGGACCTTGGCATGGGGGGGAGGGCTGGATAGTTGTGTTAACAAACTCAACCGAAGTGTTGGGGGAAGGTGACCAGGCGGGAGGAAATATCATGAGCTCAGTTTTTGAAATATTGAGTTTTTAGAAGTGTTGTGACATCCAGACTAATATGTCAGTTAGTAGATTAGTGACACGCAAGGACACTGAGGGGGTGAGTTGCGGAGTAGAAAGATATATTTGTGTGTCATCTGCATAGAGATTGGAACCCATGTGAGGTTATTAACTGACCAAGAGAGGAGGTGTAGATAGAGAAGAGGTCCAAGGACAGAGCCTTGGGGGACCCCTACAGAAAGATGAAGAGGAGGGGAGGAGTTCCATTTGTAGGTGACACTAAAGGAGCGCTGAGATAGATAAGAGGAGAACCATGAGAGAGCAGAGTCTTATAGGCCAAGTGACTGGAGTTTTTTGAGGAGCAGCAGGTGGAAAACAGTGTCAAAAGCAGCAGAAAGGTCTAATATCAAGAGTAAGGAGTAGTGGTCGTTATAAAATATATAATTATTATTATTAATGCCAGTCATTTAGATGGGGTAAGGTAGGTATTTATTATATTCTATTATTCCTTACTGGTACATTTTTGCCCTACTAATAAGCAGTCAAGTGAAACAATCACTGGGCTATTCCCAAAAGGGTGAAGAGTTTGGAGAAGGCAGGAGAAGGGAACAATCTAGGACAACATAGCTGATTTGGAAAAATTCTCCAATTCAGCTCACTTTCCAGTTCAGCGATGTTATCCTACATTGTTCACTTCTCCCGCCTTCTCCACACTCTCCACCCTTTTGTGAATAACCCTGTAAATAGCCTATGGAAAGTGTTGACTTTTTCAACATCTTTGAACAGGAAAACATTACATCTTCACTAACACAAGAATAACTCAACAAATTTCATGGTATATACTTACTTCTTCACATGACTGTATGGCCATTTCTACAGGGGGAATGGCTCTGATCTAATAAGCAGACCCTTACATTAAAGGCCTGTTCACACCTAAGCTTAGCGTTGTTTGCACGATACCTAGCGCATGGTAATGAACCTAGTGTGAATTACCATAAGCTAGGCACGTTCCGTAGCCATTCATTTGAATGTAACCTCAACACACCTCCCGAATGCCATGCACTGCAACGTTACGTTGCAGTGCAATGAAAAGAAGTCGTGCATGCAATACTCCTTTGCACTGCAACGCACAGTACTGCTATACCACGCACTGCACGACAATCGGGAGGTGTGTTGGTATGCTCCTCAAATGAATGGCAACACATCTAGTGCAGGCTAATGCACACTAGGTGCGTTGTGTGATAGCATGTGTTAAAAAATAGCATATAGCGGCCTACTGCATGCATATGCTGACAGAGCAGAGTCGTGCTGCAGCCAGGAAGGAACCCAACAATATAGTTGGGATCCATCGATTTCACTGATCTCATATTTCTCCTTTAATGACACAGTATTGTGCAATCAAAGCTATGCTTACGTGTGAATAGGTACTAACTGCTTGGACCACTTCAAACAGCACACCTTATGGCTAACTTCACACATGTGGCAAATGGGCGGAAAAAACATGCAGCTGATCCATGCATTTCCTGCCCCCTAAACATCCCTCTACAAATTAACATGGTGACTACTCACATCTGTGTACATTGGCGCAGTGCTTTTAACTTAGCTCATCACGTGTTGCAGGAGGTGCCACTTGCCAAATTCGCCCATTTAAATTCCAGGGATCGTGCCACGACTGTGCGCCATATGCCGGACATGCGAGGGGAATTTACCAAAACTGGAGCAGCTGTGCATGTCAACCAATCAGCTTCTATCTTTCATTTTAGCTGTAGAGAGAAGCGGATTGGCTACTATGAGCAGCTGCCCCAGGTTATGATTGCTCCAGTTTTAGTAATTCCCCTCCAAAATCTTTTTAGATATGTTGTATCAAGTGAGAAAGGGTCAGAACCTCTGCCAGATTGTCCGTTTGTCCTAGTGAGCATCATGACTGGAACAGAAACTGATGGAATATTTAAAAACTTATGGTTGTCACTGGGACAGAAATCAAGGGCAAATTTCACAATGTTGAAGCCTGTTTAGGTGACATCTATCTCATTTTGGAGAGACTTCATCTCACTTCCTGCCCTGTTTAAGGACAGGATGTGAGGAGAAATCTCCCCAATGGGGGTCAGATGGCAAAAAGAAAAACCTTACAGTTTTTCCAATTCCATTCTTGATAACAAAAAGAACTGTGATTTCACGTATACATGAAAAGTATTAAAATATCTGCGGTAATAGTAAAATATTTCGAGGCTCTTTCTGCTTTCTAGTTATACAGCAGAGGCAGCATGTTACCCTCTCCTTTGCTCCTCCTGATGCGTGTCTCCCAGCGACGATCGCTGCAGCTTTTTCATGAAACCAAGAAGCTGTTTGATCTCATTTTCAAAGGTGGCGATCACGGGATTCTTCGGGTCTATATTTCCATAAAAAGTGGCCGGTAAGGGCTCCATATTGTTCGTCTCTCCCGGTCTGCAACGTGCACAGCAGACAGGTGTATACCAAAGCGCTGCTAGGAAACGGTCTCCATAGCAACCACTATGTTACCATCCGCAGAACGGCGAGGCGGAGGAACGCTAGCAGGAGCACGCTGCGTGTGACGTCACACGCTTTTACTCGCACTTCCACGCCGTAGATTGGGACGGTCAGAGTTCAATTTCTTGTGCTGCGAGGGTTACATTGGCGCAGTTTGTAGCATGTCTGTATAGCCGCTCCCTGCATCACAGTCATTCCTATTGTTTTATATTCAGCTCTACGCTGTATTTTACTATAGCCACATTGTCTAGGTTACAAAACCTTTATATGAGCTTAGCTACTGTGTAGCACATTTACCGTACCCGAAGTACCCTGCCCTGAGCGGCCATGTCACAGTGCTGGTTTTAAAGAAGAACTCTGGTTCATTTTTTTTATAAGCCCTTGCACTGGGGCTACCCCTGCATTGCAAAGGTTAACTGTTAGTTTTGGTCTAAAATATATGTAAAATAACATTATACTCGCTTGTTCTTAGACCAGTCCCAAGAGCCTCTCTTCCCCCTCCGCTCCAGAGGTCTACTGTCCCGTAAATCATCCACAGTTGTGGCCAAAAGTTTTGAGAATGACAAAACTTCAGTGTTTTAAGATCTTCTTGTCCGATGTTACTCTGGTATACTGAAGTATAATTACAAGCATTTCATTAGTGTCAAAGGCTTATTATTGACAATGACATTACGTTTCTGCAAAGAGTCAATATTTGCAGTGTTGACCCTTCTTATTCAAGACCTCTGCAATTCACCCTGGCATGCTGTTAATCAACTTCTGGGCCACATCCTGACTGATGGCAGCCCATTCTTGCATAATCAATGCTTGGAGTTTGTCAGAATTTGGGGGGGTTGTTCACCTGCCTCTTGAGGATTGACCACAAGTTCTCAATGGGATTAAGGTCTGGGGAGTTTCCTGGCCATGGACCCTATATTTCGATGTTTTGTTCCCCAAGCCACTTAGTTATCACTTTTGCCTTATGGCAAGGTGCTCCATCATGCTGGAAAGGGCATTGTTCATCACCATACTGTTCTGAATAATTGGGAGAAGTTGCTCTTGGAGGATGTTTTTGTACCACTTTATTAATGGCTGTGTTCTTAGGCACAAATGTGAGGGAGCCCACTCCCTTTGGCTGAGAAGCAACCCCACACATGAATGGTCTCGAGATGCTTTACTGTTGGCATGACACAGGACTGATGGTAGTGGTCACCTTTTCTTCTCCGGACAAGGTATTTTTCCGGATGCCCCAACAATCGGAAAGGGGATTCATCAGAGGAAATTACTTTACCCCAGTCCTCAGCAGTCCAATCCCTGTACCTTTTGCACGTATTTCCTTGCAGCTAACCATGGTTAACAGAGGAAGAACAATGATTTCAAGCACCACCCTCCTTTTAAAGCTTCCAGTCTGTTAAAGGAGAACTATGGGGTCAGTGTTTTTCCCCATAGTTCTCCTTAGGGTAACGGGAGGACACAAACTAGCGGCCTCCCGTTACCCTAAGCTCATTATACCGCGAGCTACAGCTTGCGGTATACTGAGACACCAGAGCGGATCCCGACGTAGATGACGGGATCCGCCCAGCTGTGTGAGTGACAGCTGGCTCTGCCTATCTAGAGGCAGAGCCAGCTGTACCCGCCCCCTCCCCCGTCCGTTCCGCCAGTCAGCGGGCTTGCGATGATCGAGAGTGCGATCTGCCTGTCCAAGATAGGCAGATCGTACGTTTTTTTAATCCCTGTACAACCATCGCAAGACTAAAGTCTTGCGATGGTTGTAGAGTGTATGGCCACCTTTACTCAATCATCATGACAGAGTGGTCTGCAGCCTTGTCCTCGTCAACACTGACACCTGTGTTAATGAGAATCACTGACATGATGTCAGCTGGTCCTTTTGTGGCAGGGCTGAATTTTTTTGGGGGGGGGATTAAGTTAATTTTCATGGCAAAGAGGGACTTTGCAATTAATTGCAATTGATCTGATCACTCTTCATAACATTCTGGAGTAAATGCAAATTGCCATCATACAAACTGAAGCCGCAAACTTTGTGAAAATTAATATTTGTGTAATTCTCAAAACTTTTGGCTACGACTGTATACACAGCATATAGGACGTGAGGACGCTGAGGGACATTCCATCACTGGAGTGTGGGAGGAGCCAGGCAGGAGGGAGCCATGGCCGGCTCGGAGGATCGGGTTAGTATATCTTTGTTATTTTTAGCCCTAGCCCAAAATGAGCAGTTAACCCTTGCAATGCAGAGTTAGCCCCACTGCAAGGGTTAATAAAAAAATACCTGGAGTTCTTTAAACAGTGATGAATCTGGGCTTGGTGCGAAGCTTGTGCATGGTCTTCTATTCGGCTGTAGAATTCCCTGCTGCCTCTTTGTCACTTGTAGCTGCTGAGCTGGAAATGCCCCGGTTGCAACTGATTGAGCCAGAAGGGGAGTGTGTCACTGAGAGTTTTGTGCAGGTTCAGACGAACTCGGTTTACACCAAGGCCATGCGCATTATTAATTTTAAAGCAGCAAGAAATTACTGCTACAGATCGCTAATGCCACCAATTAACAGTGAGTGGAAGCTAGTAATCCAAAAAAGAACTATAGCCAAACCTTTTTTTTTGCGTTAGTTCTTAGTTGTAGTTACATTTACTAATATCCTCTTGTGCCCCAAAGACAGTATATAGAGGGCTACTATTGGCTATATGCAGACAGTGAAGAGCTGCGCTGTAACCGGAAAGGATACTGACAATAATGTCCGAATCCACCCCAATGCCTGATTGACAGTTGACTCTGCCTCTCTAGAACCAGAGCCAGCTGTGTCCACCCTCTCCCCTGTCTGTCCCTCCAATGAGCACTGGAGGGACAGAGAGAGGGAGGGGGTAATTCCTGCGGGGAGCAGTGATTGACAGTGGACAGGGAGAAGACCGTGAGCTGAGTGATCAGCAGTTTGTGAGCACTCAGTTTTTGAGCTATAGAGCCGGCGTGTGACAGTTGCAGGCTCAAACTATAGGGTTAAGTATCCTCAAATATCAGCCGCACTCCACCAGTATACGTATATTGTGTTGATTCCAATATAAAACTATGAGTATATACCACCAAACAATTCCCCATGCCTTCTTCTCTTACGCGTTTCACCACCTGGGCTTAATCCTTTATGATTAAGGAGGGAGGTGAGAGCACACTTTTAGTCTGCACGTGGTTGGTGTGTGACAGAATCAGAGCGGTGGGACGTTGAGACATGGCTATTGGGAAGAGTATATTTTACTCCCAACACTTCTCCTTTAATCATCCAAATATTACACTTACCAGCATCCTCTCTTGTTTTACTTAGTGACTATAAACAGGAGAACATATAGAAAAGGTAAATCTCCCCAAAAGAGACCTTAGTGATATCTCCTTTGCACACCGTAACAATGTGCTTTAACTACAAATCCGCACTGCGAGTCATGCCTGTAACTGTCAGTCTTGCAATGCATGGGGCTTGTAGTTCCACAACAGCTGAAGGGCCAGAGTTGCTCACCCCTGGTTTAGAGGATATGTTGTTCGCACACCATCTTGCTTCAGAATATCATCTTTATTGGTATTCCTTCAGCATTAAACTAAAAATGCAACGCTTCAGAACATTGCAGGGTCATTTCGTCAGGCAAAGTGACACAGACATGAATACAAATTTGACAGAGCTTCTAGCCTTTCCCCACAAAAAAAGTTTGGCTGTATATAATGAGGGGGAGTTATTAAAGCTAGAGCAGATTGGTTGCTCTGGGCAACTGTTTCAGATTGTGTCTGCTGCAGTGTTCATAAATCCCCCCCCCCATTGAGCTTATTCCATGACTAATTGTATACCATTGCTTTATTACATACCGTATATACTCGAGTATAAGCCGAGATTTTCAGCCCATTTTTTTGGGTGAAAAGTGACATTTTATCCCACTTCCTTTGATAGATTTCCTGCAACCTGTGCATTGTTTCTTTGAGAACAGTTCTGCCAAATGGTATTGTATTGTGTAGCAGAGGAACTGAACTAGTTGTACATTTTTGCTAGATGCACTATAATTATCCGCTCCCTCCTCCTATTATGCGAACATTCATTCACGGTTAAAATCACAAAAGCATATACATGTAGTATTTTCATTTATTACATTTTTTTTTTCTTGTTCAACTTATTTTATTTGGTTTTAAATTTCTTTGTACAAGAATCCAGGTCATAACATATTACAGTGGTGGGTTACATTGGTGGACATACTAACAAAAAACATAAAGCATATATGTGTCACGTATGACAGATTTTTTTATTGTTTAGTAACAATTGAAAAATATTTTTTTCAAATTACTGGAGTCTTTAATAAATACATTATTCATCACGTGCATGATATTTCTAAGGTATTTTGCAAAATGATTGCCTCTACTGATAGGCAATAACCTTCAGTTTAGGGATGTACCCATTAAGGAGAGCAGGAAAATTAGCCATTTCAGGCGGTCATTAAATACCTCCAGGAGATAAAAATAAGAATTGTTTAGAAACTTTGGTTAGTCATGAGATAAAGGATTTAAATACCTAATTTGTCTTAAATATTTTAAATGAAGCCTTCAGTCAGAAAAAAATTCCACTTACATTTGTATTTTCAGTCCATCACGATAACGTTTGTGACATAAAATATTATTTGTAGTACAATTTACAGCCTCTGGTAAAATGTTCTTTTATTATGGTGTAAAGAAATTGTTTTGTCTGTGCAGAATGAAATAACCGTCTTTGTCATCTGTATTTGTGAATGCCCCTCTTAGTCTTTTTTTTCAAGGGTGAGGAAAATTCAGTATTTTAGTACTGCACATATGCAACATGTTCTCTATAACCCCGAATAGAAAGCCTGCAGCTAACCTGGAAGTAGACACCTTCTCTATTGGGGTCACCATCTCAGTCATGAGGATGGAAGAGCCACTCAACCCAGC